AATACCATGGCTTTGACTAGGCGGATCTTTGTTGCCAGTCTGATGTATCTACTCTTCACTATTTTATCGAGATGGGCCATTGCTCTCCTCCCAAGAAGTAAGCGTCTTCTGATTTCCTGGCTACAGTCTGCATCTGCAGTCATCTTTGCGCCTAGAAATACAAAGTCTGTCACGGCCTCCACGGTTTCTCCCTCTATTTTCCAGTTGTCAATCATTCTTGTTGCCATAATCTTGGTTTTTTTGACGTTTAGCTGCAACCCGGCTTTTGCGCTTTCTTCTTTCACCTTGATTAGAAGGCTCCTCAGCTCCTCCTCGCTTTCGGCCATCAGAGTGGTGTCATCTGCATATCTGAGGTTGTTAATGTTTCTTCCAGCAATTTTCACCATGAAATAGATTAAATTAATATAATTCCTATTGAACAGGACTTGGTATTTGATTGTTGGTCTCTCATCCAAATACTAACCAGGGCGGACCCTGCTTAGCATCCAGGATCAGACAGGATCTGATGTCTTTAGGGTATTGCACGCAATATATTAAATTAACCATGGTGGGAGCTGTAGTTCATCCTGCAGACAGAGAACTCATGGACCACACTGATGATCCATCTAGAACAAACCTGCCCAGCATGACAAAATACTGATAAGAGTTTCAGGGTGTTAACCTGACATGATGTGAATCATAGTTCACACACACCTTATGCATTTTGTAAAATTAAAAAAACTCTGGGTACCCAAGCTTGGTGGTATGGGGAGATCAAGCCTCCTTGTCTGTCTCCTGAGGAATCTGTATAACAACCAAGTAGTAACAGTAAGAACTGACCATGGAACAAGGGAATGGTTCAAGATTGGGAAAGGAGTACAGCAGGGCTGTTTACTCTCACCCAACCTATTCAACTTGTATGCAGAACCCATCATGTGACGTGCAGGACTTGACGAATGCAAGGTTGGGGTTAAAATGGCTGGAAGAAACATTAACAACCTTAGATATGCAGATGATACCACTTTGATGGCCAAAAACTAGGAGGAGCTGAGGAGCCTTCTAACCAAAGTTGAAGAAGAAAGTGCAAAAAGCTGAGTTGCAGTAAAACACCACAGAAACCAAGATTCGGGCGACAAGACTGATTGAGAACTGGCAAATTGAGGGAGAAAACGTGGAGGCAGGGACAGACTTTGTAATAATAATAATAATAATAACAACAACAACAACAACAACAACAACAACAACAACAACAACGCTTTATTTGTACCCCGCTACCATTTCCCCAAGGGACTCAGTGCGGCTTACATGAGGCCGAGCCCAACACAACAATACAAGCAATAATCACAACAATACAAGCAATTAAAATAAAAACATAGACGATAAACATATAACATTATCAATAAGACAACATACAATTAAAACTGTGGGAAGGCCAAATGTAAAAATTAAAATTGGAAATAGGGCTGAGGCCTGGACGAAAAGGTGAAAGTGGTTTTTGTGGAAAGACATACGAGCAGACCTAAGAATATAAAGTGCTTTGGAGGGACGAAGTGCTATGG